ATGATCACAATCGACGATATTTGATGCAAGAAAATATATATAATTTAATCGTGCAGCACTACTTGTCCTTCAGCCAAGCATTCAGTTCTTCTTTACTTAGTTCCAACCCATGGTCGGCTCGAAGATGCCTCCTCAAGTCGTAGGCTCTATGGAAGATGCCCCCACAAGCGATAAGTTCCGTACCTACTACCGTGCCCTCGTGTACAGCGTGATCATCTTCTGAGGCAACATTCAGAGATAAGAAGCTTGGCCATGGACAAAGGATCACTCTTCGCGCGATCCGCGCTTTGGGTATATTGTGATCATGGAGTGAATGCGCCCCCTTTCTAGCTTCATCGAATATATTTGGATCTTCACCACGACGCTGATACTGTTTTCCGGTGAGATGTTCGATAAAGTCACATCCCCTTTCGGCCGCTTTCTCTTCTGCAGCGGTGGGGGCTGGCTTGAGCCTTCCAATATCATTGGAGACGATCGGATCACGATCAGAAGTGTGTTTCCCATGGATTTTGGCGCTGTGGCGCTGGAGTAAATGCTTGTATCCGAATTCTTTCTCACAGCCTGCCACATCACAGACAAAGTCACGCTTTTGGAGATGTGTGACATTATAGTGGACATTCATAGCCTTTTTCTACAGAGAATTTCATCAAAAGTTTGCGCAGTGTACGTCAAACGAACAACAACCGATTACTTACTGATTTAAAGCTCTTAGGACAGTCTTCCCATTCACATTTCCAATCCCTATTTACCTCGTTTTGTCTAAGGACCTCCTGGTATTCTCTCTCGGGATCATCTGGCTGCATGGTGGCGATCAGAGTATCCTGTATCGCTTTTTCTTCATGCACCTTAAGATGGGCCTTCAAATTCTTCTGAGAGGAGAAAGTTTTCCCCTCGCATCCTGGATGAGAGCAAGAAGGGGGATGCTTTTCTCGAACGTGTGCCTGAAGCAACGACCAGGTCTGAAAATAACGGTCCGCGGAGTGGAAGCATTCTGGGAATGCGCACATATATCGATTCACTAGAAAATCGTCATCGTCTCACTCCCATCAAGATTTATACATGAAGTACCTACATTGGTGGACTTTCATGTGAGCCTTTAGCTTTTGTGCAGTGGCAAACGACTTTCTGCAACTGTCATTTTCACAGCGATATTTTTTGGTGCCCGCGGGGCAATGAACCAGAACAAAATGATTTTGTAGTTGGTGATTTTTAGCGAAAGATTCTCCGCATCCGCTTTGCATGCACTGTGCATATACAAATCAGTCTTGACCAGATTTATTCATCACTCCGTACCGCGAAAACTTTATTGCTTCCATTGTGTATAGTCCGGTGCACCTTTAACTGTGTACTTGTCCAAAATCTTTTGCCACACTGTAACTCTTCGCATACGTGGGCCCTCTCAGCGTAGGACATGTGCGTTCTCATATGAGCTTGGAGGTGAGATTCCCGGAGATATGCCTTGTGGCACTCGGAATGAGTACACACAAAAGGTCGCTACAAAGGTTTGTATTAGTGCTCTGGTGCTCTTGAGTCAACATGTCTAACCTCTCCTGTATGTGAACGTTCATGCTCCCGAAGCCGAGTCGGCTTCCTGTAGGCCTTACTACATCCTGGAAACGTGCAGGAATGCCATTTTTCATCATCTATTTTGATTGATGCCAAAGTCTTTAGAGGAGTCGTAGGCTCGCTTGCAAACTTTTTGCGTTTGGTGTACGAGAATAAACTTTCTTCAGAAGAGCCTGTGGCATCGTCCTCATCGTCCTCCTCGTAAGTAGTGCGTTCACTACCGGACGAGTACTCTTCTTCACTCATACCGGGGGAAGTATGGAATGCTTGTGTTTCTTTCTGATTACTTAGACACAAACTTTTGCATCCGCCTCGTTTGCGCTTTAGACCCCCTTCCAAGGAGGAAAAAACCCCTGCGTTCATCCAAACAATGTTACCAGAATCTAAAAAATGGAATTATAGGGTTGGAAAGTTGCATGGACCGTGATTCTTGATTATGAGGTGAGCCCGAAGGTGAAGTTGTTTACGCCTTGTAAGGCTTGTCACCGACTTGCCTCTGCATTTGGTCCGTAAATTCAATAATCGGGGCCAAAGGTCAATTTAATCGACGGATATAGCTGTTAAAACTCATCTGGGTTGATTTAGAGCGATCCGGCGCCCCCCGCAGACTCAGCGTTTTCAAAGTCCTGGTCACTACTGGTGATAACATTACTTTACACGATGGCCACTCAACCCCAGAACCGTATACAAATATCCACGGACGAAGTCAACAGTCTGATACATGCATATCTCGAAGAAGCTGGTTGGTATCCTTCTCCTGGAAAGTATGAAGTAATCATCATAACTAATATCTGTCCTTCAAAGGATTCGCCCACGCTGCCTTTGCACTGTTATCTGAGGCCAATATAGACCAGTCTCCACTGCGCAGAGCGCGACTTCCTCGTGGTAAATTACCAGAGTTACTTGCGAAGAGCCTTCTTTATGAAGAAGTCGAGACTCACTGGAAACAGGTTTGTCCCAGGAAGGAACCAAGTATTCTTTGATCTTACATCGCTGTCCTTGCTGCAGCCGGCTGGAACCTGTAACCAACCATTCACTCTGCTTGGGCCGCATGAATGTAACTGGCAACCAGAAAAGGAGATTAGCGCACTCGCAAGTGCCATCGTACCAGCTCAACCTACAAGCTCTGAGAAAAAAGGCGAAGGCAACGACGACCAAGAAATGGCCGATGGTAGTTACTTTATCTCTTTGATCAACTCTGCACACTATACAGCAATTACCCCCTTCGTCCGCCCATCCTTTATCGATTTGACTTTATTGTGACCAACAATATCCCAATAGCTTCACAGCCGGACGAGTTCGAGCGCTCAAATGTTCAGGCATTTATCCAAGGAGTTCACACTGGAGAGGTGCGGAACACCTTCTTGTTAGCTCCTACACTATCCTGATAGACCGACAGCTATGGGTTCACTCGTGGAACCCGGTGTATAATGATCTGCTTGCGACAGGGTAAATGCACATTGTCATCTCCAGAACTGAGTCTGATGATTCTGTACAGGTCCAAGGATTCTCGAGTAGTCATTCAACAGATATCATGGAAAGGGGACAATATCAGCGAATCTTCTTACGACTTATTGGACGCTCTTGTACACCGCTTAGGAGAGATGAATCCCGAATTAGGTTATGAAATCAACTTCCTGGAGTGGAGCCGCGATGGCAACTACCTAGCTACTGGGGGCTCTGATGGACACATAAGAGTATGGAATAAGAGGGATAACCTGCTATTGTTTTGCAAGGACACTCACGGTCCGATTTCGACCGCACGCTTCTCCCCAAATTCAAAATACCTTCTTTCCTCAAGCATCGACGGTAACCACCTCTTATGGGACGTCGAAAAGCAGATAATTGTACAAAAGTATAACTTCAAAAGCGGTAATATATTTCAATGTTATTTCAGGTCCATTGGACTCACATGTTTCAAGACGACGTTATGGACGTAGCATGGATCAGTGACACTTCCTTTGCGACAACTTGGCCAGATTTCCGTATACATATCCTAATTACCAATGCAACAATACCCTTTCGGACATTCAATGGTCATAAGAGCGACGTCAATCAACTTCGACTTAGCCCGGATCGAAAGATGCTTGCGTCTGTTAGTAATGACGGAACCGCGAGAGTTTGGGTGGTAGAACCCCTAAAAATGGAATGGAGATCAGGGAAGGTCCTTCCTGTAGAGGGGTCGGTCGGAGGTGCGCCGGATCAAAATTGTCATCGCACCCTACTCGGGCACACAAAGCATGTCACACTCTGTCGCTGGGCGGCTATGAATGCGGACCCCTCTGAAAGGATTTTGATCAC